CCAAGTGCAAGAACTCCAAGTGATTCTTCACAAAATTCATGCCGAATGGATGGTGTTGAGTGAAACCTTTCAAGTGGCAGCAATTATTAAAAAATTGCCTCCTGCTTGAAAAGATTTCAAAAACTATTTGAAGCACAAACAAAAGGAAATGAACGTTGAAGAACTTATTGTTAGACTTTGAATTGAAGAAGACAACAAAAGTTCAGAAAAAAAGTAGTTCAATCCTGGTGTGGCTAAAGCCAATGTTGTGTAGTATGGTCAAAGCAATAAGACTTACAAAAACAAGTTTGGGCCATCTGGTGGTAAAAAGACCAAGCAAGGACAAAAAAGTGAAATTTCTAAGAAGAAATTTCAAGGGAAATGCTTCAATTATGACAAAGTAGGCCACAAGTTTTCGGAGTGCAGAATGCCAAAGAAGAAGACGAAAGAAGCAAATATGGTTGACTACATGGCACAAGATGTCTCAGAAATGAATCTCGCAGCCGTCATTTCTAAAGTGAACATGGTGGGTTCAAACCCTAAAGAGTGGTGGATTGACACCGATGCTACAAGGCATGTGTGCTTTGATAAAGAGTTGTTTGCTATGTTCGAAGCAATTGAGAACGGGGAGAAGCTGTTCATGGGAAATTTAGCAACCTCTGAAATTAAGGGTCAAGGAAAGGTAGTTCTAAAGATGACCTCGGGAAAGGAGCTGACTCTCAACAATGTCCTATATGTGCCGAAAATTCGTAAGAATTTAGTGTCCGGGTCGCTTTTGAATAAGCATGGTTTTCACATTGTATTTGAGTCAGACAAGTCATTCTATCAAAGTGAAATATTTGTCGGAGAATGTTATATTTCCGACAGTATGTTTAAGTTGAAAGTAATGATTGTGAAACAAAAAATGAACAAAGCAAATTATTCTGCTTATTTGCTTGAGTCTTCCAGTTTGTGGCATGGTAGACTAGGACATGTTAACTATGATACTTTACGTAGACTAGTTAACTCAAATTGCATACCCAAGTTTCATAATGATTCCGAACATAAGTGTGAAACTTGTGTTGAGACAAAATTGACAAGATCATCCTTTAAGTCAGTTGAACGGAAAACAGAACCACTTGATTTAATTCACAGTGATGTTTGTGACTTAAAACTTGTACAAACAAGAGGTGGCAACAAGTATTTTATTACTTTTGTTGACGATGGCACAAAATACTTCTATGTGTAATGAAGTTATAGAGAAATTTGTTTTCTATAAGAATGAAGTTGAAACTCAACTTAATAAGAAAATTAAGGTACTACGGAGTGATCGAGGTGGTGAGTATCGAGTACTGTTTGCCGATTTCTATGCACAACACGAAATCATACATGAAACCACCGCACCTTATTTACCCCAACAAAACGGTGTAGCTGAACGGAAAAATCGTACATTAAAAGAAATGATGAATGTAATGCTAGTAAGTTTCGGGTCACCTCAGAACATGTGGGGAGAAGCTATGTTATTAGCAAATTACCTTTTAAATAAGGTGCCCCGAAAGAAATTAGAAAAGACCCTTTATGAGTTATGGAAAGGAAGAAAGTCTACCTATAAACACTTGCGAGTGTGAGAGTGTCTTGCAAAAGTGGCTGTTCCAACACCAAAGAAGGTAAGGATAGATCCGAAAACTATAGACTACGTCTTCATTGGCTATGCACGTAATAGCAGTGCTTATCGATTTCTTGTGTATGATTCCAAAATTCCAGACCTATACAAAAACACGATAATGAAATCGAGGAATGCTTCATTCTTTGAAGAAGTATTTCCATACAAGTCCAAAGAGGAAGCCAGCTCCTCTAAACAAACATATGAAAATAGTCAGGACGAAGAATTAGAAAATGAGACTAAGGTTAGATGCAGCAAACGGGAAAGGACAGAAAAGTTTTATGGTCCTGATTTTTTAACCTATATGCTAGAAAGTGAACCTCAAAGTTATCAAGAAGCTGTGAATTCCTCGAAAGGACCTCAATGAAAAGATGTCATTAAAGGTGAAATAGATTTTATACTGCAAAATTATACATGGGAGCTAGTGGATCTTCGTCTTGAATGCAAATCACTAGGCTACAAATGGATTTTCAAAAGGAAAATGAAAGCAGATGGAACTATCGAAAAGTATAAGCCCAGATTAGTAATAAAATGTTACAAACAAAGGGAAGATTTTGATTACTTTGATACATATTCTCCAGTGAAGAGAATAACATCTATTAGGGTGATACTAGCGATTGCTGCTTTGCGAAATCTAGAAGTACATCAAATGGATGTTAAAATTGCTTTTCTAAATGAAGATTTAGAAGAAGAAATTTATATGGAACAACTCGAGGGGTTTTGGTCATCAGGACAGGAAAAGAAAGTCTGTAAACTGCTGAAATCACTATATGGCTTGAAACAAGTATCCAAACAATGACATGAAAAATTTGACAATGTCATGATAGAGAATGGATTTAAAATTAATGAATGTGACAAATGTGTTTACGCCAAAGACACTAAAGATGGCTATGTCATTTTATGTTTTTACGTTGACGACATGTTTATTGTTGGTAGTAACAATAAAATGATTGAATCCACTAAAAATATATTAAATTCGAGATTTGATATGAAAGTCATAGGTTTAGCTGATGTTATACTTGGAGTCAAAATCTCAAGAATATCAGATGAACTTGTTCTAAGCCAATCACATTATGTGGAAAAAAATTTGGAAAAGTTCAATAAGGATGATACTGGCTTGACCAGAACACCGATAGATACAAGTCAACATCTATCCGAAAATAAGGATGAAAACGTCTTTCAAGTAGAATAATCGAGGGTTATTGGAAGTCTAATGTAATTAATGAGTTGTACAAGACCAGACATAACCTGCACAGTCAGTAAATTGAGTGTCTGAAACTCCTAAAACTCCAATGGTCGAAACCGAAGTGTAACTCCAAAAACTGCAATGGTTAATGCAGCAACTAATGGTCGGATTCAGCCTATATAATTTCGCTCAATTTTCAATAGTTTCACACAGAAATTCTCGTCTGTAATTTCCAGTAGTTTAAACTCAGATACAGTTCTATTCTCTGTTTTGTTCCGTCTCCTCCTGTGTCCATTCCAGTACGGTGATATTGTTCGAACACTCTCCCAGTTCGTCGGAGTAAAATCGCAGTGCTCGGATTCTGCTGATTACCGTTGTATTCTGGGAGATAAGCGTTCGAACTAAACCTCTAGCATTACGGTGAGGGGGCGAATTTGTCTTAAAAAACTGTGTTTACACAGGCCACAAGTTGAAATTTTATCTGCTATTTATTTAGTTTGCATTTTATTCTTGTAGATTTATTTATTTAACGATTTACACATTTGCAATATACTTGACTCATATATTGTCTGTTAATTTATATTAGAAATAGATAAATAAAATAAACTATTTTTTTAATTCATTATATGTGTGAAAAATAGATTTCACATATACGATATTTCTATTTGTAAGTGAAAAAATTTGTGTTATTTTAGTTAGTGTATGAATAAAAACGCTTTCTGCAAATACGGTAGGCAACATATACGGTAAGGTGCAAATACGGTAAGGTGCTTGACATATACGGTAAGCTGCCAAATACGGTGAGCTGCCTGGCATATACGGTAAGCTGCCATATACGGTGAATTAAACTGCCAAATACGGTAAGCAATTGTCAAATACGGTAAGCGTGTATCCGGTATTTAAAACACAAATGCGGTATATGATAACCCGATTCCACTCCATACACTACCGATTAAATATAACAACAGAAACCAGCCGAGTCTCAATTTGCCGAAACTTTTGCATCCAATTGTGATGTTGAGGCCTCGACCCTAACTTCGATCACTGGCCGACTACTGGGATGCCAGTCGAAATTCACCAAGCCATCGGAAGCATTTTCTGAAATTCTGATCAAGAATGATAAGTGCTTGGAAATAGTCCATAGCAAGAATCACACAGAAGTGGGTGCTGCCCTGAGTGGCTCTGATGGTGGTGGTCTATATTTCTGTTGTGTTCTGTTCAGCAATGGCAAATCCAACCATAGTTTTGTCCCTGAGGAAGGTGTAGCTAAGATAAGTCAACCTGGATGCTTCAGCGGTGCCAATGATGAGTGCAGTGGCGTTCCCGAATTATCCCAAAGCCCTCGTCTTTTGCCAATTGCTATAGGAGCTTTCATTGCATTGGTATGTGCCTTTGAAATATGATATGCTGCAAAATGTTTTTGACTTGATTTTGTATAGTCTCTGTATTTAATTGTTCATTCAATTGATCCTCATTTTTAAGTGAGCAATTTTCGTTACATGCATCATATAATGATACAAAATATGTATTTTCATCTCCAAGATGGTCAATGCTCAGAATTTTTGGCTCAAATTTGACATGTCTGTTGCTTAGAACTGCAAGGACTTGATATATATGTTGTTGATGGTGAAATTTTACTCAACTGACTACCGTTAATGGGGAACCAGTAATCCATCGGAAAAGACTGCAAAATAAATATTGGCGAAGGAGTTTGACCATTGAAATTGTGGGTTGCTGATTTGCTCGTCGTACTATAGCTTGAAAAAGTTTCAAGTGATTGTAAGACGCGACCAGGTGGTCTATAGATGAAGAGGTCTGATCTTACTGGGTTAGAAGCTCAAGCCCGTGGGACGTCTAAAATCTGCAAATGATTACACATTTGCATTTTCTTGAACCCTGTTTTTACCAGTTCTTTTGGCGTTTGATCCCAATGAATCAATGCTATTGTGTGACAAACTGACAGTAGTTTAAGTGGGGAAGAATGGGTTAAGATCTTATTTATTGAACTGACGAGTATAATTCGTCCACAGATTTGAGTTCATCATAGAGGCTTTACTTCTTTTACACTACCAAATTACTTCAAGAACAGCTAAAAGTATGACTCTTCGCATTCGTCCTTGAACCTTTTTCCTAATAGATCTTCAATCACTGGATTCCAGTGAACTGGACTTATTCTGATCATAGTTATAGAAGTAAAAACAAAGTTAAAATTTTGTTTATTATACTGTTCAGTTCTACATACACATCATTCCAAGATGAGTTGAGCTTGAACATTGTTCCTAACAATTCTTTCAACATTTGATTCCAATGAACAAAGACTCAAATATGACTCTAATTCACGAAATCAAACAACATCTTGTTTATTGTGCTGTCGAATTCGGTTGAGATAACCCTCCGTTCATACATGCTAAGAGGCTTTACACTTCAAGACTAAACCAAGGACAGCTAAAATAATTATAATCCCAGTTGAAGAACCCCCAACCCTGTGAATCCAGTAAGGATCAAACCTGGTAAATCGAGTCTCCTTGAAACTTGAAAAAGCAATTCCCATTATCAGAACCAGCAGCAGAAGAGGCAAGTAGGAAGAAAAATTTATGGGTTCTTCAATTTCTGGCTCAGATATGGATCTCTGATCAATATATAATGGAGATAATATAGCAAGAATAGCTAATCCTATGGCCAGAAGCTTGTGATCGTGTGATGAAATTCTTCTACCCCTTCTCATAGCCGTTTCATCTTGCTCCATCCAAACAACTAGGCAGAAATTTGATTCAGACTGAATTAACTATTCGGATAAACCATTATAAATAACTACCTATATTCTCTTATATAATTATATTCTCTTGAATAGAGCATGTTTGGCAGAGCTTAAAAAATTTACATGTAAGTAATTGTACACTTTTTTAAGTTCTAGTAGTCAATTAAGTAAATACTTTTGAGAGTAAGGTTAGAGTTATTTTGAAGATTTGTAGCTTTTTTTTACTTAAAAAGTTTTAGGGATTTATGATCAAAATGATGTGATACTTAATTTGCATCGATGTAATTGGATTCCACATTACTTGTGAAAGATCTGCCTTGTGGATTTATAAGCACTTTGGACACTCTCTACTTAGAAGTCGATTTTAAGGGTAAATCTTACACAAGCGATCGTTAAATTTGCCAGGAGAACTTCGAATAGAAGTCGTACATGAGCTAGAAATAGTTTTGAATTTATAAAGAAATGAGGTAAACATTGATCATTAGGATAAATCTCTGAAAACCAATAAAAGCAACATGTGAAAATAAAAATTTACTTAGAAGTAGCTTTTATTTAGCCAAACGTGAGTCTACCATTTTTTGGCCAAACATGCTCCATTGCTAATATTCTCCTTTCTTAAAGCCAATTTTCGTGTATAAAAAAGTGACATTGGAGTGTCCGAAGGAGGGTTACTGGGCAACTTGTTAAATAAGCTGGTGCTGAGATAAAGGGATTGGATAGACATAACTTTAAGAAAAAAGAGAAGCACTAATCTCCACTTTCACACTCAATTCTAGTGGTGCAACTATATCATATTGGAATCGGATTCTGTCTCCATTATTTCCTAAAAAGTGATGACTAAATCTTGAAATTTAAAGATGTGATAATTATGTTTATCACTGAATTCTTATGAAGTATCGATTACTTTAATTTTTAGCATGCTTTCAAGAGGACGAGAAGAGTAGGACTCTGCTAGGTGTTAGAGCGTGTTTGGAGTTACTTAAAATAAATAATAAATGTTTAACATTAAAAATAAGTCACGCGTTTGAAACTTATCTTTAAGATAAGTCATCTCAAACATGCATTTACGAAGAGGTATAATAAGGTAACATTCTTGAGATATGTCAATTGGAAATATTCTTTATGTGAAGAGGCACCTTTTAATGGTTGAATTGCAGCTACTGCAGTTTTCACCAACTAATAATTAGGTCATCAAAGAAATTATAGCTTTGGCCACTTAAATTAATTTACCCTACAATTTTCACTTTAACTCAAAAATTTTAAATCCTTTGAACAAGAATTTTTTTATTTCATAAATTTGAATCAAATTCAGCACAACATACCAATAGTCTTAATAATTGTTATTATATCTCAATAATTTGATCAAGAGTAGGATCAATTTTAGTTCGACACTTCGACTCCCAATATCACTATCATCATATTACTCTTGACTTAGAGGTAGATTTGAGTCATGATTTTTTAAAATTTTTATTTAGGTCAATAACACAAAAATAAAAAATACTAAAAAATGCATATAATTCTTAAGACAAGATGCCAAAAAATGTGCCCGTCGAATTAAAAATAATTAGAATCTCTTATACAGCTCCCGACTTTTTTATTTTAGAAGGATAACAAAAATTCATGAAAATGGTTTTAAAAGTAAAATAGCAAATAAAAAAAAAGTAAAAAACAAATTGCTTTGAGCTCCAAGTAGTACTATTTCTGATAATTTACTTACAGTAGAACTAAAGGTTGGACACCACACCTCTCCAACCCCAAGAATCCATATATGATAAGGATTAATATATATGTACTCTGCCTCCAGGGCACATCTTCAAGTGGTAAAAGGGAGGGGTGGAGAAATCCAGTTTTGCTTGAGGCTACCACGTCAAAGATTCGAATCCTGAAATATGAATTTGGCTTTTGAGTAAGTACAAGTGTACAAGCAGCCTTCCACCCTGTACCCTTGGAGGTATAATCTGCGATTTATCTCCCTCACGATATTTCAGGGTAGGGGCGATGGGAGATCCTTAAGGTTGACGTTCAACCTTTAATATATATGTACTCACAAACTTTGACAAAATAGGTTACACACACTCACAAAAAATGCGGACCTCACATGAATTCAAAAATGTCGGTTTGTGGTCCCCACCCCTATTGTGAGTGTAAGTAAAACTTTTTGTACAAAAGTATGAATACATGTAGTATGATCCATATGATAATATGATGGGCACATTACAGTTGTAAAATACAATTTTAATTTTTAAAATTAAGAAATCAGGGAAAATCGTATGTGCCTATCAATTTAATAATATTTTATGATATACTACATAAATATTTATATATCAAATATATTATATATTACATAAAATATCACCAAAAATATTGTTTCCTAAAATTCTTGATTAGACATTTTGTAACTGAAAATTGAATATAAATTAAATATGAGCATATAATTCGCCTTACATTAATTATCATTGCTAAAAAGGTATTTATGAATTGAAATTACATGGATAACCAACTCCTACAACACAGTGCTATTGGCAATTTCTCTTGTGCAAGAATAAATTAACAATTTAATCCAAGCAAATAACTAAATATCAAAATTTGCCTTGTTGGTCCAAGATCCTTCGTGTCAAATGACTTGAATAAATCTACATCCAAACTGTGAATCAATTGTAAATTTACCCACTATTAAAATGTCATCTACATATAGCAAAAATGATAATGAAATTACCACAATGGAATTCTCTAACATAAACACAATGATATGCATCTATCCTGACATAACCATAACTCACCATAAAGGAATAAAACTTTTTATACTACTGTCTTGTAGTGTGTTTCAACCCATACAAAATCTTTTTCAACTTGTAAATAATATGTTCTTTTCCTTTTACTTCAAACATGTAGATTTCTTCTTCCAAATCATCATGAGGAAAAGTGATTTTCACATCTAACTGCTTAACCTCAAGATCCAAACTAGCTAATAAGCCCAGAGCAACTCGAACGGAAGTCATTTTGACATCTGGAGAGAATATCTCATCAAAGTCATTCCCTTTCTTTTGATCGAAGCCCTTCACTACTAATCGTACTTTATACTTCACTAACTGTTCATCATATTTTTTCAACTTGAATAACCATTTATTTTTCAATACCATTTTACCTTTGGGAAGCCCTACTAACTCATAAGTATTATTCTTTTGCAAAGAATTCATCTCTTCCTGCATAACCTTCACTCAACACTATTTGTCCTTATGAGATTATACACCCTAAAAGCATTCAGCCCTCTCTCATCAGTTACCAACACATAAACTAATACAGGATACCTAGTTGATGGATGATGCTCCTTGGTAGATCTTATAATTTGAGATTCCAATGCAATTGATTGCACCTCCTACTCAATATCTTCTAGATCATCTTTATCAACCCTTGTTGGCTCATAGTATGACTGGTAATTTGTGTCTCTGCCACCCAAATGGCATTGCCTAAAGGCAAAGAAACATGGGTAAGGTCAATTGATAAGTGTATTTTATACACTTATTTAGACCTTTAAAATTGAGTATTTGTCGGCAAATTGGATAAAACAAGGTTTAATCCTATGTATATATTGTTTGTAGGTAACAGTCGATGAAAGATACGGGAAAAAAGGAGAATAAGCCAGAAAAAGGGCTAAGTTGCATCAAATACAAGTTGGAGGACTAAAATGAAATAATTCAAATGTTGAACACAAATGAAAAATTAAGATTCAAGATGGAAGAACTCCATTGCAATGAAGAATAGACAAATGGCACAAGAAAAGAGTGAAGAAAAGACCTTGAAGAAAGTTCGGGGACTAAGCTGCAAATTTGGCCCCAAATATAACCCAAGGTGCGCGCCCTTGCCTGCAGGCAAGGCGTGCACCTCAAGGCCAAAATAGGGTGCCTAAGATACCCAAAATCACTAAGGTGTGCGCCCTAAAATACACTAGGCGTACGCCCCAAGGTTAAATGCGGAAAAATTCGGGTTTCCTTGTTTTATTTTGGTTAGGAGTCTTTTGGGGTGGAGATCAATTGGAAAACTCGTCCAAACCTAGAGCTTATCATCTTGCAAGCTGACAAAGAGGATAACTAGAGAGAAATACATTGAAGAAAAAAGAATTCATTACTTGGGTTCAGATTTGAAAGCATAAATTGAATAATTTCAGATTCTATTCATATTTCAATGATTTGGGTAATGACTTTCTTTTATTTTTCTTATATTTCCTACATTAATATGCTAGACTAAATACTTTGCGTATTGGATGGATGACAAAACTAGTTGAATCTTAATTTTTAATTCAAGACCTTATGTTTTTATTTTAATTCTTGTGTTATGATTCCTTTAACATGCATATCTATATTTTTTTAATGTTTGCACACCATTAGGACAATGAGTTGTTTATTCATAGTGTTGAAAAACTCACGGTAGGTAGAACACTGTTATTGGAACACATGGACAATGAATGTTAGGAATAATATTTGTAGCATGTGCGATCATGTGTGATAATCCTACACGTTAATGCGTGTTTGCCATATGAATTCCGACTAGAAATAGGATCGTCTCATGGTAATTATAGGTTTATTATATCTTGGGAAAGAATAATAAATGAAAGTGAAATTATTGATCATCACAATTGCATGAGTTGAGATAAATGTCATTGGTTGAGAATTATAGCTAAGAGTTGATCGGTGGCGTCGAAAATCCAATACATTTACTTATCTGAATTTTAAAACAAATTCTCATTAATTTTACAATTTTTAGTTATAGAACTTAATTAGCTATTCAAACAAAAATCAACTTTTGGTTACTAACATGAATTTACTTATATCGAATACATTAAAATTAGACCTTATTCCCTGTGGGACGATAACTCTTTCATCACAATTATTACTTGTACAATGAACCTATACGCTTGCGAGATTTTGACAATCATCAATGATACCCTCAGCAACATGTTTTTTATTCCTAAATTTCTCGAAATCTGCTTTCTTTTGATTTTCATGAAAAATCTCATCTTTATTGCTAATTATTTTCTTTTTCT